GTTAAAAATCCAAGAATTGGGCAATTACTAAGTTTTATTACAACTCAAAAAACTTTACAAACCCAACTTTCATCAATATTAATAAACCTCTGAATTCCTGCAATCTAGCTACTTCTCGCCCAGTCATGGCCCGAGTCACCTAACTGCCCTGTCTCTCCAGTAGAGACCAGTCTGTGGATATGCACATTGCCCTCCATACAAAACTGTGCCGTGGAATCCCCGTAAAGAAAGCCCAGTGACCTTCCTGAAGCCCTGGAAACCTGATGATGTGATGAGTCTCAAGCCTCCACACATGCTCAGGAGCCCTTCTCCCAGGAGTCCAGCTCCATGGGCCTGCCCCAGGGCCTTCTCACTTGCCATTCCCTTTGCCTGGGGTGCTCTCACCTCCCATTCTTGAGGGGAATTACTTATTCTCTTACTTGCACTCTTCAGGAATGATCTCACATTTGTTTACGGATTATTATCCCGATCCTTACCCTGCCTGTTGCCCTCACTGCTGGCGGCATGCCCAACACCTCAGAGTAAACTTAGCTGTGAGGTTCAGAAAGTGCCCGCTCACTGCCCGCTCTTCCCATACTAATAAGTCTCGGCCTCAGGGACCCCCTGCTACACTGCTTTGTGGTGCTAGGGTTCTCTGTCAGCTGTTTCCCAGACACCCTTGAGAGCTGGCTTCAGTGTCCTGCCCATGAGAGGCGTGAATGGAAAATGGAACGCAGAAAGAACAACTCAGAACATCAAGGAGAAGTGTGGGTTTTGAAACATACACGAGTCTAAGATTTTGGAGGTTAAAAATGAAAATGTTCATCTGGGCCAAGCAGGTACCATAGTTGTGAAGCAGGCAGGTATCAAAAGGGTCCAGGTGTGAGATGCGGGTGAGGACTGTGGAAAACAGGAGTGAATGCCCATCCAAGTAGGAAGTACCCCCAACTCAGGTCTGGCAAACCACTGCCCCATGAGATCCAGATCTGACCACCGGCATTTTTATGTGAAATCTGCTCATTTTAATACTGGTAACCAACATAATTTAAATTAAAAAATAAAAATAAAAATAAAAATCTCAAGAACTCTATGGAGTCCAAATCTGATACCCCAACAACTCAGCTTAGGGCTGGGCAGCCATCATTGCTGTTTCTGGCTTAGTGGCTAAGAATGTACCTCCAGCATCCAGTTATCTGTGTTCATACCCAGATTCAGCTTCATACTAGCCGCCGTGTGGCCTACAGCCTTTGTGTCCCCCTCACAACAGTTGTAAAATGGGCATAACAATAGTCCCTTCCTCTCCAAGGATGATGGTGAGGGCTCTCTGTCCCTGTCACACTCAGAGCACAGGCTACCCTGAGACCCACTGTGTTGGCTCGAGTTGACTGACTCACAGGGACCCTACAAGAACAGAGAAATGCTCCTCAGGGTTTCTGAAACTCCATCTCCACAGGAGCGGACTGCTTCATCTTCCTCCCTTGGAACAGCTACTGGGTTTGAACCATGGATTCGGTGGTTAGCAGCCCAATGCTAAACCTGCCGCACTACCAGGGCTCCTTAGCACCTCAATAGCCTTCAGCAAATGGGTTCCAATTTCCCAGGGCTTTTATGAATTACTACATTCCATCTCACAAACTCTGTACAGTGGCCTACCAGGCCCAGTCCTCTGGCTCCTCTCTAACCTCACCTTCCACCACCCTTAGGTCCAGCCTTGTGTGCTCTTGTATACACATTCCAAGCAGGCTCCTACCTCAGGGCCTTTGCACTTCCGGGTCCCTCTGCTCTGATGTCACCTTCTGTGCGACATCTTCCCTGATCCGCTGTAAGAATTAAGGTTTTGTTTCAGCTCGGCGGGATCAGGATTCTCAATGGTTTAGCAATTAAGATGGCGTCATCACCTCCATGATGAGATCTAATAGGATGTAATCACCCCCAAGATAGGATCTGATGCCATCAGCCCAGATCTGATGTACTTATCCTACGTGTTATAAAGCCTCACTTCTCTGGTTCTGAGGCCAGATGCAATCTACAGAATTAGGCTGTATCTTGAATCAATCTCTATTGAGATATGAAAGGATAGAGAAGTGAACTGAGCTCAGAGGAACCAACTACCACCGAGATAGAAGAGCCAGTAGCGGAGTACTTTTTTTGGATCTGGGGTCCCTGCAGTGTGAAGCACCTAGATCCTGGGGAAGACTGATGCCGAGATATATGGAGATCTTCAAGCAATGCTGAGCCTACAGATGCTGAAAGACCATTCCCCAGAGCTGATAAAGAGAAAACAGAAGTTCCCCCCGGAGGCTCTCTGAATCTGGACTTCCAGCCTCTTAGACTGCGAGAGGATAAAGGTCTAGATACTAAAGCCTTCCCCTTGGGGTTATTTCTGCTGGAGCCGCACTAGATGACTAAGACACATCCCTTCACACACACACCAGCCTCCTTGTCCCCCCTTCCCTGCTTTTTCTCCACACCACTCATTACCTTCTGTCGCTACGTTTTGTACGTTTACTGTTTTATGACACTTGCTTAAATGATATTGATTGCTCTGTCTTCCCCATAATACATATAATGACCACAAAGGCAGGGATTTTGTCCACTGCTGTATCCTCAGTTCCCAGAGGGGTGCCTACCATCTATCTAGCAGCCGCTCTATACACTGTTGGATGAAGAAGGAAATAAATAACAGCTCCTACCTCATAACGATCCGATGCGATTGTCCACATAGAGAGCTTAGCCCAGGGCCCAGTCCACTGTGAGGCGTTGAGTTAATGATGACCATTACGATAATTTGGGTTCTATTCTCGAAGGTTCTGAGTTGCCAAGCTTCTATGAATCAACATCCGTAAAGCGCCTTAGAACAGGGCTTGGCACACAGAGAACACTCAGTAAACAGCAGCTATCATCAAAGTTCGGCTTCTATTTTCAAAGGAGCTTCAATGCCAAGCTTTTGTGAATTCGTATTTCCTGCCTCAGAATAAGAGCCAACGTTTTGCCTAGGCTATAAGGAATGGGCCCTCCGCCACTCTCTGACCTATCTCTACAACCCTCCTTCTAGCCACCCCTGGGCAGAGTCCTGCCTCCTCCTGCCTGGAACTTTCTTCACAACAGACCTGCCTGGCTCCCCTCTCACCTCCTTCTCTTGTAGAACTAAAACCTGCTGTCCTCAGGTCAACCTCAACTCATGGAGGCCCCATGTGCTCCCAAGGGCTTTCAGTGGCTTTTATTATACAAAAGCAGCTCACCAGACCTTTCTTTTGTGGTGCCACAGGTGGATTCAAACCGGCAACCCTTCAGTTCATAGCCATGAGCAAACCATCTGTGCCACTTAGGGACTAAGGTGCACCTGACCTAAACCGTGGTGTTTTCAATAGCCTCATAGTTGTGTCAAAGTTGGACAATGAATAAGGAAGATTGGAGAAGAACTAAGGCATTAGAATCATGGTATTGGTGATGGATATTGAAACAACAGACAAATCTGCCTTGGAAGAGAAGGATAGCCCGAGGGCTCCTTAGAAGCAAAGATGGCGAGACTTGGTCTCACTGACTTTGGACATTTTCTGAGGAGGGACCAGTCCCTGGAGAAGGACATACTGTTCGGTAAAGTCGGAGGGTAAGCAAAAAAAAACAGGAAGACCAACCCCCAACGAGCTGGATCGGCACAGTGGCTACAATACTGGGCTCACACACAGGAAAGGTTGTGAGGGTGGCCCAGGGCTGGGCAGTATTCCGTTCTGTTGTGCACGGGGCTGGCTATGGACGAGCTCACTCAATGGCACCTAACAACCACAACGACGGGGCTTCAGAGAAGACTACGCTATTTAACAGGGGACTTTCCAGCACCCTGTCCTCCCTTCTCTGCTTTCCTTCTCTCCCCCAGTTCCGTCACCGTCAGACAAAGGCTCCCTCTGATTTGTTTATGGTCTGTCTCTGCCAGTCCCCTCCCCACTCCATGGAAGGTCCTTAGGGACAAGAATTTCATTTAATCCTCTGGTCAATGCCCAGAACTGACCACACAGCAGGCATTCGACAAACACTGGCTAAATGAATCAAGGAATCATACGACCTCACAGAAGATGGTTATTCTAAGGATTCGATGATCTCCGGAAATAAACTGTGCTGGGAAAGTGGTAGCTCTCAGCATCATTAAGGAGATGTTTTATTGTTGAGTTCCTAGACGCACAATTTCCCTGCTTCAATCTGTGCACACAAAGTACTTGGACCAGCATTCGGCACCCAGGAAGCGCTTGCTGAACGTAGCTGTAATTATAATTAAAGTCTCTTTGTGGAGATTCTTAGGCAGAGAGCCCAAACTGTCCTCTCCAAAAACTCGTTTCTGCATGTGGACACTTGGCTGGCCTGCCCGGCCCAGACTCCTTTGCAGTCAGTTAGCTGTGGCCATGTGACCAAACGGCTCAGCAATGGAACGGAGATGGGAGCAGCCTGTGCCACTTTCCCAGCTGGAGCTAGAGAGAGACTCTGTCTCACGCCACACTCTCTCCTCTTCATTGTGGTCACTCAGCCTGGACTGCGTGGCTGACCACAGGGCCAAAGGGGAGCAAGCTGCTCCCCAACCTGAAACACCCACCCTGGACTATTGTGTGGGTAAGGGCTAACTGCCATTGTGTTTGAACATGTACATCGTGGGGTCCACTTGTTATCACCATTGGCCTACGGAACAGGGACAGGAGCCAAGCTTCTAGGAATAAAACACACAGAAGTCACAATGAACAGGGGTACTCAGTAAATGTTAGTTATCTTGACAATGATGACCTTACGGTGCCCAGAGGCAGGAGGGCTAAATGTCCAGGCACAAGCCTGTGCTTACACGTACATACGTCAAACACACACTAGACCAACACACACAGAATCGGGCTTTTATTCGGGCCTTCACACATCTACTGCTAAGACGACACAGATTAGCGGTACCCCATCTCCCAGGGCCACTGTGACCATCCGTATTTCCCCAGCCCCTTCCTCCCCTCCCATCCCTTCCGCCAAGCGCCCTGGGTGGGGGCCTCTTCCTACACCTCCCCCCGGGCATGTAGCATGAAGTGGCCGTGGAGCTCCCCGAGGTTGTCGAAGGAATCGTCACACTCTGTACACTGGTAGGAGCCCTCGTCTTCCTCCTCTTCCTCCTCCTCCCTCCCAGCTGGTTGGCCTTCCCCAGGCCCCTCCCCTGCCCGAGGAGGCTCTTCCTCTTCCTCCCCAAGGGCCCTGCCTTCGGGGACTGGCGCTTCCTGGGGGGCTGTAGCGGGGCAGCGGAGTCGGCAAGGTGGGGTGCCTGGTGGGGCCTCCCCAAGAGGTGGGCGGCCACAAAGCTGGCAGGGTTGGGCGGAGGGGCCCGGGGGCTGGGCTGCACGGGGGGCCCGGCGGGAAGGGCCGCCCCGGCCGCCCCCCAGGCGCTGCTTCACCTTGTAGCCAGGATCATATTCGGGATCGTCAGTGGTCTCTTCCTCCTCCTCCTCTTCATCCTCTTCTTCTTCTGAGTCCGGCTCTGAGAGTGTGTATTCTGAGTCGGAGGAATGCTCAGGGCCTGGGGAGAGACAGTGACATCACAAGACAGAAAGCATTCCCCTCCCTGAGTCCCACCCACACTCACCTCAATCTCCCTGCCTGTCCCCACAGAAGCTATGTCCAGTTCATATTTGTATACAGTATATATAGTTGGCACATGAACACTTATTAGTTTCAACCGCTGAAGCCTGTGAGCGCCCTAACTGGACGGGACAGCGTCTGTGTCTGTTTGGGTCTCCGGTTCGCCACCTTCCCACGGCTTTTTACGAGTGGAGAATATCTGAGTTTTCTGCCTTATAGAGGTTCCAGCTTTAGCAGGTTTTGCCATAGATGAACCCTCTTCATTCATTAAAGGAGCCCACACAGCACAGTGGGTTAGGTTTTGGGCTGCTAGTCAAGAAGTCAACGGTTCAAACCTACCAGGGGCTCCATGGAAGAAAGATGCGGCTGTCTGCTCCTATGAAGATTGTCTCAGGAACCCTAAGGAAGCAGTTCTACTCTGTCCAACAAGGTCGTTAGGAGTTAGAACTGCCTCGATGGCAGTAGGTTTGGTTTGGGAGTTTTTGCGCCAGACTGCAAAGCCGGTTGAACTGCAAGGTTAGTGGTTCAAGCTTGCCTGCAGCTCCTGGGAAATCCTATACAGGGTCACTATGGGTCGGAACCGACTCGACAGCACTTAGCAATAACTGGATGTAAGTTCAATGGAAATGAATCATCAGTATATAATAAATACATTTTAACAAAAGAAAACAAGGGTGTGCCCTGATCAGTTGATGGAAATTTGTGATTAGAGGCACACAGGAAGATAACCTTGCATTTCCCTAGAAGCAAGAGTCCGGTATTCGCTAGTTCAGTGTCTATAGCGTGTTCATAGAATACTGACTGCCCGAGTCAGCTTCGACACGTGGGGGCCCCACAGGTGTTAGAGCAGAGCTGTGCCCTATAGGGTCTTCAATGACTGATGTTTTGGGAAGTAGATCCCCAGGTTTTTTTCCAAGGTCCCTCGGAGTGGACTCAAACCTTCAACCTTCCTGCTGAACAGGTTAATTGTGTGCACTACCCAGGACTCCTCATAAAAAATAACCACTATAAACAAGGAGACCTGACTATATATGCATTTTAATGGTGGTGGTTGTGTGCCGTGGAGTCGGTTCCGACCCATAGTGACCCTGTACAGGGTTTCTGAGGCTGTCAATCTTTACTGGAGCAGAAAGTCTCATCTTTCTCCCGTGGAACAGCTGGTAGTTTCAAACTGCTGACCGTGAGGTTCACAGCCCGATTTGTAACCACTACGCTACCAGAGCTCCTTATGCATTTTAATAGAGGTGGTTTTATACACACACACATACACACCTAGTTAAGTGAGTGGGGTGATTTTATTTCTTGGTATAGATACCTACAAGGTCTCTAGGTTTGCACTTGGTTAACCTAGTGGCAAGGGGGTTACACATTGGGTTGTTAAATGCAAGGTCAGCAGTTCAAATCCACCAGCCGCACCATGGGAAAATGATGAAGCCTTCTGCTCCCATAAAAGCAGTTCTTCAGCCTCGGAAATCCGACTCGATGGCACACAACCACTACCACCAACCTAGAGGTTGGTGATCCAAACCCACCCAGAGTGCTGAGAAAGAAAGACCCCTCTAACAATCACAGTCAAGAAAACACTGGAGAGCAGTTCTATTCTGACACACGAGGTCACCATGAGTCTGCAACAACTCAGCGGCAGCAGGTTTTATACATAACCATACCTGTACCTGTTGGTGTTTCCTGCGGTCATGTTGGGCCCAACTCACAGTGACCCGACGCACAACAGAACAAAATGCTGCCTTGCCCTTCTGAACTCTCCCCCAGATTGGTTGTGGATCAGACTGCTGTAGTCCACCTGATTTTCAGCAGATCTCCAAGCCTGTCTCAGCTGGAAGCTCTGCTGAAATCTCTTCCGCATCCCAGCAACATGAGAGCTTCCACTGACACATGCGTGGTAGCTGCAGGTGGGCGCAATGGCCGGAAGCCACACCGGGATTGCTCGCATGGAAGGCGACAATTCTACTGGTGCACCAGTGCCCTCGATGGATGCCACTGCCATCGACTCTGACCGCAGAAACCCTACGGGAACGGGGAGAACGACCCCACAGGTCTCCAAGGGCTGTGATCTTTATGGGAGCAGACTGCAACCGCTTCCTTCTGTGGGGTGGCTAGTGGGTTCCAACTACTGTTTCTGTAGGACGCAGACGTTACTGTGATGACTTGGGATATGTTTCTTATTGTGTGTGCCATTGATTTGGTTCCGACCCTTAGAGACCCTGTATAGGGATTCCAAGGGCTGCTGGTGGGTTTGAACTGCCAACCTTGGTTTGAACTACCAATCCAGTGCTTATCCTAAAAACTGAGGTTAAAAATAGCAATTGGGAAAGATCTAAAGTCGACTGGCGAGGAGCAATGACGTCAGGTAGTAATTGTGTAGAGCGCACACAGAAAGACAGTTGGGCCTCGAGACCGAGGTGTGGGAAAACTGTCCAGAGCCCCTCTTAGACCTGAAACAGCCTGTGTCCATGCTCACCCCCTCCCATCCTGGGACAATGCAGCCTGGGACCCTCTTGCTTCGCCCTCACTCACACGGCCTTAGGGACCAAACCCCCAAACCTTACTTCCTACCCTTGTAGGTCCCTTTGGGCTCCTGACTGATCAACATGGTGGGCAGGCACCTCCACCTCAGAACCTGTGCCTCCCTCTCTGCTGATGCACCAAAATTCCCTCCCTCCCACCTTCTTAGTGACACTCTGCCCACAGTGTCCAAGCACCAACCCTTTCCTAGACCTCCTTCCCCCGCTAACTTGGCTTTTTCTTTCTCATCCGCAGGCTTACTGTACACAGTGTGTTGGTCATTGCAGGGGCCCAGCACCAGGTCTGACATAAACACGAAGCTAGATCCCTCACAGTGCAGCGAACAGCTCTGTCTTCCCTGGGGCCCTCACGCGTTCTGTGCCTTCTCCTGGGGACATCCTCCCTTATTGCCCCTTCATCCTTTAGAACTTGGTATGAGGCCCCCCTCCTCCTCCCAGGCACTACTTGTGACCATCCACTGTTCCACCCTGAGCCCCAGGGTTGTGGTCCTTGGTATCAGTCCCACTCAGAACAATGGGTGGTAAGTGGCTAAACACCCTCCCTGCAGCCCTCTCTTCCTCGCTCCTGCCTGTCCACAGCCATTCTACAAGGGATATTCCTCTGCCTGCAATGCTCTTCCCTGCTCTGTCTTCCGGGAGACAGTCCTCTATGAAATCACCACTTCTGAGGCCCAGCTCCCCCTTCACTGCAGCTTCCCAGTAGAAGTGTGTCCCTGACTTCTCCCCAGGACCTCCCCTGTTACTGCCCTGATCACCCTGGAGAGGCTGGGGCCATTTGGGCTCCAGTTATTGAGAAACGTTCAACCATTTAAGGAGGTACAATATGATCAACAACCACTGGTACTGAAGGGAGAAATCCAAGCAGCACCAAGGCATAAGTGAAAAACAAGAGCTCATGAATTGACAGAAAAGTCTCACCAAATGGATGCAGCACTGGAGACGCTCACTCATTTATGCCAAGAAATGTGGTATAGACAGCTAGCTACCTAGCCAACCAACTAGAAGAGATCCATCTTCATGCCCATTCCAGAGACAGATCCAAGAAAACACAAAATCATTAATATCACACTGTAACGGACTCAATTCTGCTCCTCAAACTATGTGTCAACGCAGGTGGGCCACGCTGCTCGGTGGTTTGGCAGCTATGTGATGATTCCCCCATGATGTGATCTGATGTGATAAATCTATAGGATGATCAAAGGTGGCAGCAACACCCTTCACCTTACAGGAGATCAAAGATGAGTGAAGCGAGCAGAGATAAGAGAGACATAATACCACCAAGATGGAAGAACTGAGAGCAAAATGCATCTTTGGACCTGAGGTCCCTGCACTGAGAAACTTACATCCAGAGGCCCATTGATGCCAAGATACATGGAGCTCTCCAAACAATGCTGGGCCTACAGATACTGATGGGAGACAAGGACCTTCTCCTAAACTGTGAGCCAACAGAGAAAGAAAACTTTCCATTACAGTTGGCACCTCCCGTAAGGATTTACACCCTCGGAAACCCTGTACAGGGTCGCTATGGGTCGGCTCCGACTCGAAGGCACTTAACAACAAGAAGCCTCCTAAGAGAGCGAGGTGGCTCTGTAGGATGAGCACTGAAATGTGACCCACACGCTCAGCAGTTCAAGCCCACCAGCTGCTCCTGGGGAGAAAGGAAGGCTTTCTGCTCCTATAAAGAGTTCTAGCTTCGGAAACCCTATACAGGATTGCTAGGAGTTGGAATTGAACAGATAGCACTTAACAGCGACATCGACAAGCCTCTAAATGGTTAGAGGCTTTGTCAAAGCCAGCCCCTTATGCGATGTCTGTTAAAGCAGAGCTAGAGGTCTCACATACACACACAAAGAAAATTTTTCTGAAGATCATCAAAAAGTTAGTGCAGCAGTATATCAACATGGAAATGCCAAAAGTTCAAGCCAGAGTCATGCAAGGATGTAGAATGAGGGATATTACTGATAGCACTATTGATGTCAGTTAAATCTTGGCTGAAAGTCAAGATTACCAGAAAGATATTTTGTTGTTATTGTTAAGTACCATCAAGTCAGTTCCAATCCACAGCAACCTTGTATAGAATTTCTGAGGAGCGGCTAGTGGGCTTGAACTGCCGACCCTGCAGTTCAACATGACTTTGCAGTCCGGTACATTAACCCACAGTCCCACACCAGGATTCCATAAAGATGTTTAGCTGTGCTTTATTGACTATGTAAAGGCTTTCAACTGTGTGGATCATGACAAGCTATAGATAACATTGTAAAGAATGGGTATTCCAGAACACTTAACTGTGCTCATGAGGAACCTGTACATAGACCAAGAGGCAGTCATTTGAATAGAATAAGGGGGGTTGCTGAATTGTTCAAAATCAGTAAAGGTGTGCATCAGGGTTGTATCCTTTCATTAAATCAACCTGTATGCTAAGCAAAGAATCTATGACTAAATGAAGATTATGGAATCAGGATTCAAGGAAGAATCAGTTAACAGTCCATAATATGCAGAAGACACAATCTTGCTTGCCGAAAGTGAAGAGGACTTGAAGCACTTTAGGATAAAGGTAAAGAACACTAGCCTTCAGTATGAATTATACCTGAATGTAAACAAAAATCCTCACAATCGGACCAATAAGTAACATCATGTTAAACTGAAAAGACTGAAGTTGTCAATAACTTCATTTTATCTGGATCCGTAATCAATGCCCATGGAAACAATGAAATCAAATGACATACTGCATTAAGCAAATCTGCTATGACACATCTCTTTATTAAAAAGCAAAGATGTCTCGTGAAGGTGCCATGGAATTTTCAATCACTTCATTGAATGTGAAAGCTTGACAATGAATTAGACCAAAGAAGAACTGATGCCTTTGAATGATGAGGCTGGTAAAGAACACTGAATATAAACCCCCCCTAGAAACAAGGATGGTGAGGCTTCATCTCACATACTCTGGACAAGTTATCCTGATAAAGGACATGACACGTGGTATGGTAGAGGGTCTATGGAGAAGGGCAGAGCATCAACGGAATGGACTGATACAGTGGTAGTAACAATGACTAGACACGACTCGGTTCTGTTGTACACGGGTCAGGTTCACAACGACTCAGGTTAGACTCAACAGCACCCAAAGACAAGATGGCTTCCCCATCTGACTGGGACCCCTCCAGAGCAGGTCTAGCCCATCTAAGGGGTCCCCAGAACTGCTGAGCACAGGACTTGTAGATCTAAATGGACAAGGGCAGCCCCCAGGCCCTGCCTGTCTCCCCTCCTCCTCCAGATCTTTCCCTCTGTAGTTCTCCCCTGGAGCCACCTTTTGGCTGAAGGGCTGTAAAACCCAGAGCCCACAGCTCCAGCCCTGGGCTAGGCCCCGCCCCCACCCCCTCCTCCTCCCTGAGGTCACATGCCTGCCCTGCTCTTCAATGTCCACTATGACTTCACCCAGTTGGTCTGTGAAAGGCAAGCAGGTAGTGGCCCACGGCTGCCAATTCTTTCATGTCCACTGTGACTCCCAGCACCGCAGTCCTTTTGCGCCCACCATGCCCTCTCCACCTGCGAGACCCTCAAAGGCCGGCATGCCTCCAGAATCCACTGGACCTTCTGTGCCCATCATGTCTCCTGGGACACCTGGCTCCTTGCAGACCACCATCCCAGCAATACCCAACACATCCTCAGCTCCCGCCAAGTCATCGACAGCCCCCACCTCCGTCATGAGCCCAAGCAGTTCCAAGTCCACCAGATCAACAAGTATGAAAACGCCTTGTAACCAACCCAGCAACAGTTCTAGGGTCAGGACACCCAGTCGGGCCAGTACCGACACCAAGGCCAGCCATGACTCCAGGGCCAGCAAAGCCAACGGGACGAGGCGCCAGCAGCGGAGGAGCACGCAAAGCAGGGGTCGAACTCCCGGCAGAAGGAACAGCCGCAATGCCAAGAGGGCCCCCAGCAGGGCCAGAGCCGGCATCCCTGGCACAGTGAGAACTCCGACTTTCCAGCAAAAGCACCCAGGGGGGCGGAGTCAGAGCCGGCCTGGGACCACCAGCCAGGACAATGACAGCCAGCCTACAACTATGAGCACTGAGAAGAGTTACAGCCCACCAGGGGCCTCGGGTTTGGGGAGCAGTTCTAGGGTAGCTGCCACCACCAATAGGGCCAAGAGTTACAGTCCCACTCGGGCTGCCATCAAGGAAGAGAGCTACAGCCAGTCTCCACCATCACCCAGGCGAGTGAAAAGTTACAGTCAGATGATCACTCCCAGCAGGGAACGGAGCTACAGCCCACCTAAGCTGTCCAGCGGCGTGATGAGTTACAGCCAGACACGTTCTCCCAGTGGGACCCGAAGTCGCAGCCGGTCTAGGAGCCCCAGCCGGACCCCAAATCGCAGCCAGTCTAGAACCCACAGAAGGACCCGAAGTCACAGCCGGTCTAGGAGCCCCAGCAGGACCCCAAGTCGCAGCTGGTCTCGAACCTCCAGAAGGTCCAGAAGTCACAGCCGCAACAGGACCCACAGCAAGTCCAGAGGTCACAGCTGGAATAGATCTCATAGCAGGGAAGGAAGTCATCCCCTGATGGGTTCCCCCAGCCAGACAAGAAGAACTAGCCAGTCTAGAACCCACAGCAAGGGGAAAAGCCCCAGCAGGGAGAGAAATCATAGTTCATTTCAAGCCTCCAGCAGGTCTAGAAGTCCCAGCAGGGAGAGATACTACAGCCAATCCCAAACCTCCAGCAAAGACAGAGACAGCAGCCGATCCAGAACTTCCAGCCAGGAGATAGACCCCAGCCCATCTAGAACCGCCATCAAGAAGAGGTATTATCGTCGAACAAGGACCTCCACCAGGGAGACGCATCACAGTGGATCTAGAAGCCCCAGCGAGGAAAGAAGCCATAGTCACTCTAGAACTCTGAACGAGAAGAAAGGCCGCAACCACTCTAGAACCCCCAACAAAGAGAACCGTCACACCCACTCTAGAACTTCCAGCCAGGACAGCAATCAGAACCTACCTAGAAGCCCCCAAAGTTCCACATGGAGGAGATCCTTGAGTAAAACCAGGAGTCCCAGTGAGAACAAAGCCCACAGTGAGACAAGAAGCCCCTCCCCATCAAAAACTCTCAGCAGAACCCAAGATCCAACGCAGGATGGGCTTCCTGCGGACCCCATATTGTCTAATACCACTTTACCTGGGGAAAGATCTTCGTCGTCTTCTTCCAAGCTGGCGTAGCCCCCGGTCTCAGCTGGCTCACGGGTCTCTGTCATGGCCGGGCGAGGGGACAGGAGACGGGAGCAGAGGAGCAGCTAGGCAGCGTCCCTCCCCGGCCAGCTCTCCAGAGCCGTACCTCCAGCCACAAGGTCTTCTCCGATGCAGACTTGGCAGGCTGGGAGGGGTACTTATGTAGGAAAAAGGAAAGGCCCGTGGTGACCCAATAAATTTTTACATAGCAACTCCCCACGACCCAGGCCCAGCTGTGTGGTGAGTACATGACAAAGGTAAAAGCTGGCTGTAGTTTCCGGACTACCTACAAGGCCTTGGTTGAGCTTGCCCATCCCTGCTTCTCTGAAGGCCTTCATTTCCCCATCTGGGCAACAGAGCTGTCCGTGGTTCTTATTATTCACATTTCAAAAAGTTTGCCATGGGCAAATTGGAATCAAAAGCAGAGCAGGGCCCTGTTGCCAACTAGTAACCCTGAAATGGCTGACCTATGGGAAGGCCTGAGGTTGGGCGAGGGTCCAGAGTGGCAGTAGAGGGTACGAGTACGGATTACCTGGTGTAATGGTGATATACCAGTCAGAAAGTTATTTCAACCTTTCAACAAAGGGGATGGCTGCATTAGTCTGACGGAGAGCCCAAGTTCTGTGTCCATTTCTCTCTTGATTAGGAAGGTCAGTAGGCTGCAATCCTCAAACTGTCACTTTGGGATGTGTGGTTTCAAGCAGAGGACTTAAGGTTGTGGCTGTTTTTTAAATTTTTTATTGTGAATTGAGTGAAGGCTTACAGAGCAGATCAACAGTTTTATGTCCAACAAATCATACACTCGGCTTCACTACATGGTTGCGACCCCCTCCATGTTTCAATAGCTAATAGCGTAACCTCTAGTCACTTTAATTATTACATTCCTCCCTGTGTCTCCTGCTACGTTTATCTTTCCTCTGCTAGCCTCCCTCTTGTATAATGCCTGCCCTGTTACCCATGTTAACATGTGTCTACCCTCTAGTTCATGAATAATCCCCCATTCCCCGCCATAACCATCATAGATTATTTTGTAATCAAGAAAACCTTTTTTAAACAAAACAAAACACGTTTTTACAAGGTTGGTCTCACACAATGTTGGTCCTTTTGTGGTGAGTTGACTAATTTCACTTAGCATAAAATGTCTTCCCGTTTCAACCATGTTGTGAGGTGTTTCAGATTCATCATTATTGTTCAACATTGTGTAGGAGTCCATTGTGTGTATGTGTCAAAGTTTGTTTAACCACTCTTCTGTTGATGGGAATTTACTCTGTCTCCATCTTTTTGGTCTCTAAGAGACAACATCGAAGGATCCAGTTTTCTTAATCATGCTGCTCTTTGTTTATCTTGAGTGGTACATCTAATTCATTTACATGCAGTGTAATTCTCAGTAAGCATGAATTGACTGTTATTTTTCTGTGTGTTTTTTGTGTTTGGTGCTGCTAGATTCTTTGTTCCATATGATTTTCTATGCTGAGTTCATTTTGTTTGTGGGTTTTCTTTGCATTTTCACTCCTGTTGTGTTAATGTTTACTAAATCCTTCTGATGTGAGGGGTATTATTTTTCTATCAGGTTACCCTGTAATTTATTAATTTCTTCCCTGCTTAAAACAGTTTGTTTTATCTTAAAATCTACTTGGCTTCCCTGCCATTTGTAAATTTTGTATCTATTTTGTTGTTGTTAAGTGCTGTGGAGTCGGTTCCGACCCATAGCGACCCTGTACAGGGTTTCTGAGGGTGTAAATCTTTATGGGAGTAGAAAGCCTCATCTTTCTCCCACGGAGCGGCTGGTAGTTTCAAACCGCTGACCTTAAGGTATTTTTGCTTTATAGTTGACTTCATTATATATGGTTATCTCTGGTTCCCAATTGTCAGTCTTATAGGAGTCCTGGTGTAGCGCTGTGGGTTAATGTGCCAGACTGCAGAGCTGTTTGAAATGCAAGGTCAGCAGTTCAAGCTCACCAGATGCTCCTTGGAAACCCTATACAGGGTCGCTATGGGTCAGAACCAACTTCACAGCACTTAACAACAACAACAGGTTTGTTTTACTTTAAATACTTCTATATCTGCCAAGAAATTTGGAAGACAACTATTTGGCCAACTGATTGGAAGAGATCCATATCTACGCCCATTCCAAAGAGAGGTTACCCAATGGAATGCAGAAATCATCGGACAATCTTTTTGATATCCCATGTGAGTAAAGTTTTGCTAAAGGTAATACAGCAACGGCTACAATCATACATTGACAAAGAACTTCCTGAGGTTCAAGCCAGATTCAGAAGAGGCCGTGAAATGAGGGATATCATTGCTGATGTCTAATGGATCTTGGTTGAAAGCAGAGAATATCAGAAAGATGTTTACCTGTCCTTTATTGACTACGCAAAGGCTTTTGAGTGTGTGGATCATGACAAGCTATGGACAACATTGTGAAGTATGAGTAATCCGGAACACTTAATTGTGCTCATGAGGAATCTGTACCTGGACCAAGAGGCAGTTGTTCAAACAGAACATGGAACACTGAGTGGTTTAAAATTAAGAAAGGTGTGCGACAAGGTATTCTTTCACCATACTTATTCAACCTGTATGCTGAACAAATAATCCAAGCAGCTGGGTTATACAAAGAAAAACGTGGCATCAAGATTGGAGGAAGACTCATTAACATCCTGCGATATGCAGACGATACAACCTTGCTTGCTGAAAGTGAAGAGGACTTAAAATATTTACTGATGAAGATCAAGGATCACAGCCTTTGGTATGGATTGTATCCCAATGTAAAGAGAACAAAAATCCTCACAACTGGACCAATAGACAACATTATCTATGAAGAAAAGATTGAAGTTGTCAAGGACTTCATTCTTCTAGGATCAACTATCAACACTCAAGGAAGCAGCAGTCAAGAGATCAAACGACATATTGCATTAGGCAAATCTGCTACACAAGACCTTTTTAAAGTACTGAAGAGGAAAGATGTCAGCATGAGGATTAAGGTGCGCCTGACCCAAACCATGGTATTTTCAATAATCTCATATGCATGCAAAAGCTAGACAGTGAATAAGGAAGACCAGAGAAGAATTGATACCATTGAGTTATAGTGTTGGAGAATATTGAAAGTGCCATGGACTGCCAAAAGAACCAATAGATCTTCCGTTTTGGAAGAAGTGCAGCCAGAGTGCTCCTTAGAGGCCAAGATGGCCAAACTTCGTCTCTCATACTTTGGACATATTGTCAGGAGGGTCCAGTAGCTGGAAAAGGATATCATGTTTGGTAAGGTGGAGGGTCAGAGAAAAAAGAGGAAGACCCCCAATGAGATGGGTTGGCCAATTGGCAGCATTGATGGACTCAAGCGTGGCAACAGTAGTGAGGTTGGCCCAGGATTGGGCAATGTTTCGTTCTGCTGTGCATAAGGTCGCTATGGGTCAGTACCGACTCAATGGCACTTAACTTTAACTATATGTGGATGGTGTTGTTATATACGTTCATCTCAGGTTGTTGTCTGCTATTGTTGGTTCTAGTGCAAAGAACACCCTTTAGCATTTTTTGTAAAGTTTTTCTGGTCATTACAAATTCCTTTAATTTCTATTTATGAGGAAATATCCTAATTTCACCATTATATTTGAGGGATAGCATTGCTGGGTATATGATTCTTGGTTGACAATTTCTGAGTTTTGTACATGTCATCCAATTGCCTTCCTATCTACATGATTTCTGCTGAGAACTCAGAGCTTAGTCTTATTGGTTCTCTTTTGTAGGTAACTTCATTTTGCACGAGCTTCTCTAATGTTGTGTCTTGGTGAATTTCTTTGGGGATCTATCCTGTTTGGGATTGGTTCAGCTTCTTGTATGCTTACCTTCTTATCTTTCATGATGTTAGGGAAATTTTCTTCCAAAAACTCTTTGATAAGTTTTCTCTGTACTTGTCTCTTTCTGTTCTGGAATTCTGATCACTCATAAATTGTTCCTCTTCATGGTTTCCTACATAACTCTTAGGCTTTCTTCTAGCATATAGTATTGAGAGATGTTTCTTCAAGCTCACTAATTCGGGCTTCCTTTGCTTCCCATTTATTCGTTTGCTCTTTCAATGTGCTATCCATTTCTGAGCTCTTAGTACTAATCTTCTGGATTTCTAATTGCAGGTTTTATATTATTTCAGAATTTGTATTTATTTTGTCTGTTGGTTCTTGTAGTATTTTCTTGAATTCTTCTAAAGTTTCTACTGGGCTCTCCTTACTTTCCTACATGTACAGATCCTTTGAAGGGACCAAATTAGCATTCTTTTGAATTCTTTTTCAGTTAGTTCTATTACCTTTTCTTCCTCAGAAATGTCTTCTGGCTCTGAATCTTGGTCATGTGTTTGAGTCATTCTTTCTTGGTTCTTTGTGTGAGCTAAAATTGTCTGTTGTCTCTGGAGCATTGTGAGATTGTCGTATTTGTAAAAACCAGTGCAGCTGTTGGATCCAGAGGGGAGAAGTCTCTTGGGGGGCTCCTGCAATTCAAGGAGCTCATAAGGTGGTTGTGAAAAGGATGTGATAGCAGTGTGTCCTAGATGGAGTTCCTATTGGCCTTGGTGTTATCTATGTTCTGGGCACTCAATCTGGAAGTAGTTCATGATGGCCCTTGATGGAGCGGAGCTGGTTTCAGTATCTGCTAGGACCATAGGGAAGCTGGAGGTAGGGTAACTGGCTAAATGCTGACCTGGTGGCCCTGGCTTTTACAAGTCTGGAGCCAAGCCCACCTGGATCCTGGCACTAAAGTGGCACATCAGAGTGGTACAGGTGACCCCCACCTCCCAACCACAAGGCTCCGAACTCCTGGAGAGCAGGGTCTGCGCTGGGGGTGAGGGAAGGTGGCAACTTATCACACTGCTGGCCACCAGGTGAGCGTGGGGGGGAAGTAGAAATCACACCTTTCCATTGCCTGCACGAATCTGCTCTGCCAGGTCT